AAGTTGACTGACATTTGTGGCATTGAATTTGGTAAGCTAATTCATTAACGTATTTTCTGTTGTAATACATATTATACCTTTGATATTTACTCCTAGCAAACCTTTGATGTTGGATACTAGTTTTTGAGGGAACTTTATTTTTATTCTTACGTTGTGTTTGTAACTCGAGTTGCTTTTGTCCCTCCTATAAACCATACAACTCCTACAATGTAGTTCATATAAAGATATCTCATTTTAAGGCATTGTGGGGATATTTCTTTGTAAATAACGGTTTCTAGATGTTGTTTATGTATACATTTGAAAATGGTACACTTAGAGAAGAAACTACAATGTTAACATATTAGCTCATTTAAAGTTTTATGCGTTATTTACAAAGTTTGAGAGTTCTAAGACCACCTAATTTTCAGTACACTGCCGTGTTTAAAAGGTGTTCTTAAAATTAGGATAATCATTCTCGAATAACTCAATTACTATCACTTATAATTACCATTTCAACTCTTTCCTTCTCATAAACATGAGTACACATATAGTTAACAAACTGGAGAGCCCTGTTTGCTGTTGTCGTTCCAAACATGGAAAGAAAGTTTTATTTTCTGTGCATTAACAAAACTAGAAAATTTAATTAATTAAAAGTAATCATAATCAATATCACACAGTTACATCCACCAAATTTATTTACCTGCAGTTACTGGTGATTGATGCTGCAGTGGCTTTTCTTTAGGCTTTGAACGACTTTGAAAAACATCACACTGCGTAACACTGACAAATTCTGGATCGTGTATATGTTGTATTTTTGGTTACTCCGGCTACTTTTAAGCTCCCCATATTTTAAAACCAACTCAATAACAGTGAACGTTGTATAATTTGACAGACGTTCTTATTTGGATAACGTCAACGGATGTTATTGTTTTGTTTGCTTGTTTTTTGAGGATATCAATAGAGCAACTGCATTAGTTTATCATCTTTTATTCTTCATCTTCCGAACAAGAGAAATAAAAATAATAATCAACAGTTGTTACTTGGTTAATCTTTTAACAAATTTAACATCAGAAGAACTCATGACAATAACGTAAAGCAGAATAAATAGTGATAATGAAATTCGTTCACTCGAGCGGAAAATTGACTTTTTAAATTCCTTCCTTTTGAGAATATTTTTCTTCGTTCTTCCTCAGAATAAGACTTCTCGAATGTCGTTTTCTCTCAGTTCGCTTTACTTGGTAAATCGTACTTGATGGGCATCATAAGTGCCGCTCAGGAACACACTAAACACTTTATTTTGCCCTTACCTTCCGTCTTTTAACTGCTGTTTTATTCTAGTGGTTAGCTAATCGAAGAGTCCGAGGTTCAAGACGACATACCACTGAACACGTCCTGTGCTTTCAACTGCAGGATCGTTATAAAAGTGGCAGTCAATCACATTATTAATCTCCAGGATTCGTACAAAACATTTGCTGCAGTGAATGTTTCTGGATGGTAGTCTTTTATCTAGACGGTGTCTAAATCTGCGGACTTACAACGCTATAAAACGGGTTTCGATACTCGTGGTGGGCAGAGCACATATAGCCCATTGTGTAGCTTTGTGCGTAACTACAAACAAACGGTGGCTAAAAACTAGAGATGGCTATATACCTGAACTATGGGGTTTTCTTAGTTCACGTGCCCTGTCTTTTATCTTACATATTCTCTTGACACTTTTATATCATTTTATCTTATTCTCCTATAACTCCTTTTTATACGTCCTTTGTACCTCCTGATTTTACTGTCCCCTTTGGTATTCAAACTTTCCGCTATGTTGACAATGAATATCCATAAAGTAAAATATCCTGTATCTGTAGGAAGTCAACCCAATTAGGAATAGCCAATATAGTACATTAGATAATCTAGTGAAAAGCAGAAAGAAACTTCGCTCTTTGCTTAACATGGTTTAACCATCCGAAGTGATTAAGACAAACATCAATTTCAACTTAATAACTAATCTTTCTGTCATAAAGCACGAGCTAAGCACATAGAAATTAGCATAGCAACTCATTGTTAACTAGCAATAAATTTACTTGGTTGAAAGTATAATTACCATGTTAAATTGAAGAGATGAGTGCTAATAATTCACGACTTACAAGATCCTTGAAATAAAATAAAATAAACAACAGTTGTTGACTTCCAGGAAAAACTACGAGTAGTTAATTTTGTATATAATTATAAATACTGTCTCGGAAGTCATTTATCAACTAACAGAGTCTGGTGTTAAAAAACCATTTAATGTTAGAAATCAGATTATACAATCTGATATATTACACTGCACAAAACTGATTTTAGAAACATATCGAACTGTGATATTTCAGGTTTAACTTCCAATTGGCCAAGGTATTTCAAATTGAGATTTGAAGAACTAATCAGTAACAGCTAAATTTTTACTTCAAAATTTGATGAAAATGAATATTCTCTGATGGTATTTGTACTCAAAAGGAAACACATATGAAAGCCTAAAACGCTACATTTCGCTATATTTTAGAGTATCTAAGTATAATTCCTCTTAACACTCATATTTGTCAGTGTTGGTTTTTTCTTGTATGAACATTTTTCCCCTTTAATTATCATTAATTTCTGTAGCATTACTATTTCACAGATACATTTATGCAAACCTAATCATTTTGTCTCTTAGTGGTTTTTAGAACATATATAGTCTCGCGGTGGATCATCGGTACGTTTTTGGACTTGTATCGCTAAATTCCGGGGTTCTATTCCCCGCGGTGGCCAGAGCAAAAATAGCACTTTGTGTAGCTTTGCGTTGAATGAACAATATAACGAAGAATGCAATAGGAAATATATTTATAACAATAAAGTTAAAAGTAAATGCACAGACAAAAGTCCACTGGAATTATTTTAAAAGTAGGGTCAATTCTTTACAAATAGAATATACTTACGTGGAAGAATGCATATTTACCCGTATTTTTTTTATTTGTTATAGGGTCGTATTGATAAGTAGATTTTTCGCATTTGTCTTCTACCTCACAATCTCTAAAGATTGGTTTTAACACCTTAAAATACTTGCCTTGCGAAAAAAAAAGGTATTTTATGGGCTAAACGAACGAAGCGATAAAAAAAAAATAAGAACGACCAAAGTAGGAAGCTTTGGTTGAGAGCCAAAAACATTTTCAAGGAAAGTATATAGGCTGTCAGTGAAACCTCTTCTGAAAACATTTTATCTTGCTCAAGGTCTAGTTGGAAGTGTGTTTGTTTGTTTTTCAACTTAAAAACCTGTGCTTTTTATTTCTTTTCCTGTTTATTCTTTTATTAAGAAGCAAAGAGGTTGATTGGTGATGCTCAAGAGTATTCTTGTCCCTTCTCTTACCCACTAACGACATAAAAAAAGAGGAGTAGCGATATATCAGAACACTGGTTACATTATTGATTAGTTTGTCCTAAGTTATCAGAAATCCATGTCATGTTCACCCGTGAACGCTTGTTGTTTCTACTAGCGAATTTCTCTACTTTGGTCTCCCCCCCCCATTCTTTCATTAGATTCGTATGGATTGTTTTCACCATCAACGGTGAACCAGGATTTTCCTCCAGTTCTTTAGCTGCTCAACGTCACGCTATGGTCTCGTAGGTTTATCGTAATCTTGGTTTCTGAGAAGGATTTTAAAACGTCGACATCGTAGTTCTTTTAATAGATAGTTTCATGCAAATGTTAATTTTTTTAATACTTATTTTACAATGATATTATAATATAATATAACATACAAAATATCAGCATCAGCTAAATCCGTCCTCAACTTTTAAAATGTACTTTACAATATCAACATATACTGTAAAAGCTAACATATAAAGAAATCGTCTAGTACACTTTGACTTCCAAAACTTATAAGTCCCGTAAGAGCGAACAAATGATAAAAAGGAAAAAGTTTCTTTCCAGAGTAAGTTTTCGGGAAAAATCAGAGTATCGACATTATATAAAAGTTTAACTACATATCTATCCTTCTTTAGTGTGCGTTCGTTTAGACCGTTCGAAACGTTTTACTAAAGGATGGGTTATTAGTCTGACTAGTCTCGAGACAACGTTTCATTCCTCGCCGAGAGGAAGAGAGAGATATGCAAAATGATTTTCATTTTCATGATATGACCGTATTAACTGGAACCATCGAAATGATAAAGGATGAATAAACGACATTTCTGCTCTCTCTAGTATGAATCTTGTAATGCTTCTGATCCTTACTCTAAGCCTACTTTCCTTTATTAATTTTTGTTTGAATTTGAGGCACCATTTGATCTATGCTAAACAATGGTATTGTACTAACAGAGTAAACAATTCAGGTTTAATAACGAGAGAATAAAATTACAGGAACAGTTGAGACAAAACATGTTTATAGAAATATGGTGGGAGGGGATTTATCCTTTTAAGACTCCTTATGTATAGAGCATACCTTGAATACATTGAGTATTTTTATTCAACATTGGATGAAATGTAAATCTTGCAATGTATTATTAAAATGTTATTTTTATAGTAATAAAATGACGGTTATCCGTCGCGTGAAATATTTCTTATTTGGAAATTGACCCATCAGCTTCTAAACTTAAACAGGACAAAAAAAAACAATAAATAAAATGTTTAAACACATTACATCAGAAGTAATTTTGTATTTATGGCAAAGCTACTATACTACAAAGTCACTGGTAAATTATCCTTATGTTTGAAACTGTGATTACATACATTATTAGTATATTTTATTTTCTTCTATTAAAGAAGAAAGTAGGTTATTGGTTACATCATGTCTGGATGGTGTAAAATAAGTTGAATATATGAAGATGTAGGATTAACAAGGTAAGATTTTCTATTGCAAGTTTACTTCTAATTTATATAATATCTGAAATACAGGATAATTAGTGAAGAATAACAAAAACTGATACTTAAGTGAGTAAGTCAAGATAAAAAATGTTTTTCTCTCTCCTTCTGAACCATAATCTATCTTTGCCCTACTTCTTCCGACCTCTTTACTTCACAGGATAAATGCTTATCCCTTAGGATTCTCCTTGACATAAATGAAGGATTAAAGTTATGTGGCGCAGAATAAAAGATACTGGAATTCAACCGTATAAGCCAAGAAAACATTTCGTAAGTACAATATGTCTGAAAAAAAAAATCATGGCATAAAACAAGTATGCAGATGAGGGATTTGAAATAAGATATCTTAATTTGACTTGTATCAATAGAGCAATTACAGAAAAACAAACGCCAAGGGCAACCAAATTTCCATATTAGATATTTAAACTTTCCACCAAGGAACAGTAAATTGAAACTTATAGCTCAACCCATTTGGATAATATTAAGAAACAAACAACACCATGGCTCAAGAGAATAGTCGGTAACTGTTCCAAAACCAAGCAAACAAAAAAAACAAGTAAATTGTTCTTCTTTCACAATTGTTACGCTCAACAGTTCTCAAATTGTTTTATTTAAAAAAATCTGCCAAAATAACAATTTTAAACTTCATACAATGACATCAGAAAAACACTGTGGTTATTTCGAATATACCAACTATACAGTAACTGTCATTCTAAGAAATTCTATAAAACGGCCTTCTCTTTCCATCAAAATATATCAGAAACCAGAAAAAGATCTGAAAGAGCAAGTACTTGTAAGCAGAATATGTGTTTCTCCAGAAATAACAGTGCTGATGAACGATGATGTCTAGACTCAAGAAAATTGTTTACAAACTAATATGTAAACGATGTAATCACATCTCCCTTTCTTTAATTATATGTTTTTAAAGATGTATGGGTTAAACATATTTACAATTTTACATTCTAATGTATTAAATCATGACTTTATAACCACATTAACAATATTTCAGCCCAATATTTATATGTGAACACATAAATCTGTCTATACATATATAAATAGGTACATACATACATACATATCTACTTCTATGTAAAACTGCTTACATAATAAAAACCCCAAACACATTCGCATATGAACATATAAATCTCTCTTTATTATTATTATTTCTTCGGTATTTTAACCCCCCCCCCCTTGTGTCCCCTGCTATTATTCTTCGGAACAATACTTTAACATATTAATTTTATGATACAGGGTTTCCATAAATTATTGAATGAAACACTTTTTTAATTGAACAGAATAGGAACCACACCAGGTTTCTGAAGTTTTTTCCTCACTACATTAGATGGGAGTATGTGAAGGACATTGTATGAAAGATGATGACAACGTTGCGTGCCCAAATAATCAACGCAACTGCGACGAGTACTCTGAAGATGCTGGAAAGTACGTGAGAGGAGATCGATTATCGCCCGGACATCTTTCGAGACCATGTCAAAGCATACTAACGGCGCCACTTCCCATGGGCAAACCTAGTGTGTTTAGCCTACATTATACCACGAACCGAAGTTCTGTATATTATATAGTTCTTGTTCTATTCAAGTAAAAAATGGTTTAATAACTTATTCAGTTCCCGTTTTATTAGAACATTTTTTATAAACGTTCCAAATAGGCAGGAGCAGTCCATTTAACACGACCGCTATCTACACAATTGTATTTTTATTATAACTAATTTCAACAGTAATGCGATACATTAAAACGAATTAAAATAGTACTATAGATATCGAGGTCGAATTCTTTTTTAATTTAGAAATTACGTCTGGTAATAAACTTTAGTTTTTGTTTGTTTGTTTGTTGTAAAACGCAAAGCTACACTATGGGCTATCTGTGCTCTGCCCACCACAGGTATCAAAATCCGATTTTCAGCGCTATAAGCCCACTGATTTACCGCTGAACCACAGGGGGGCTAAGCTCTAGTTAAGCATTAAAATAAATAAGAAATGTGTGGAATGTGTTATTTTTTCCTTCAAAACTGTAACCTGTAATGAAAATATCAAAATCGAATATTGAGTAATAAGTAAATATATTTTTTCTATTGCCATAAGTCTTTTACATGCTAAATGTATCTAAACCCTTTAATATCTAGTTTGGCTAATGTCTATGACGCAATGAGGAGTCCTTATTTCTCACTACTCAACTACTGAAAATTAAAATAATTAAAAATACCTTGACAGATATACACCAGGGAAAACCAACTGTAAGACGCATTAGTTTAGTTTATCTTTTGAGTGTGTGTGTGTGATTAAATTGAGAAGCATATATTTTACTTAACTTAATGCTTTTGAAAATTTCCTTTACGTTAGATATAGGTTTGATGGACGCCATTTTTGTCTAATAAACTTATAACAGATTTTTTTTCAGATTTTATAATGCTGTAGCTTTATTTGTTTGTTGTCCTCGTTGTTTTATTGGAAACCTTTTCGATTCTGATATAATAAAGCCTAACTTATATGCTCATCCTTTATAAATTCATATAAATCTTATAGTTTATGCACTTTTCGATAACAGAATGAAACTGGAAACCTCACAAAGTAGTTTTACAGTAAAAACATAATGGGAAGACAACTCATCCAAGATTTATAATCGAAAAATAGATTAATATAGAACCGAAGGGCAGATAATCCTTGGCCTCTAACGCATCTGTATCACAGGAAACGCTTGTTCCTTTCCAGAAAACTAACACACACAAAACAAGATTGGTTATAGGACAATTTTCTTTTTTTTTATGGAGGTGAGGTGGAGGGGGAGATTAGCGTATGAACAACTCGTGTAATATAAAAATTAAAGTAAGAACTTACAGCTGAAAGGTACACATAAGGCGCGTCAAATGAACTTAAGATTTTTAAGGTTTGCTCTATACATAACGAGTCTTAAAATGACGAATTGTCTCCTCACCGAATATTTGTAAGCAAGTTTTTTTTTCAGTGGTTACTGGTAAGTTTATCCTATCACTATTAAATCTAAATTGCTTAGTCTGAGTTTAGCCTGCCTTTGTTTGACATAAATTAAATAGTTCCTCAAATTCGAATTAACCAATAAATATGTATAATAAAGGCAAAGAAAATAGGTTTAGAGCAGCATTTCCAAAACTATGTTCCGTCTGAGATTGATAGGTGCTCCGTGAGAAAATCATGATTTTAAATTTAAACAAAATATTTAACACTTTTTTGTACGATCATAACTTATCATGAAATGCTTTCCTATGTATTAGAATTAGATAATATCGATTTCGCATTGAAGAAGAATTATAGAAGATGCCATATATATTCTACATAATATCTTAGTGGAGATGTTCGTACCTAAAATATATTATAAGCATGAAAATGTAAAAATGCATTAATATGTAATTTGATTTGATAAATAAATGAATAATATACAAATCTAGAGGGTGCTGCGCGCTCAATATACCCTCTACACCGATATTTCACGAGTCTAGTGCTCCGTAAGCTTTTTTGCAGCTGAAAAGTGTTCCGTGGCCAAAAAAGTTTGGGAAGCACTAATTTGGAGTGTGGGTCAGGGCCATCTCAATATCCAAACTTACCAGAGAGAAATGTTATTCCTTCAATTTTAATCATTTCAATAGTTTTAATTAATAGATATAACTTCACTTCAGAAATGCTTACGTTATTAATAGTCTTATTTGGTATTTATAAGGGTATTTCTACTTCAGAAAACTGAGACAATTGGACTAGCGTTATACGTGATGGTCGTTCTTTTGATATGTATGTAAACTTCAAAGTTTTTAGGCAAAACCCTAAACCAATACATGCAAAGGTGTTATTGTTTTAGTAATTTTGAATATATTTTAATGGTGAAAATTATCCAAAGTCCAAGGTTTTTACGTACAAAACTGTACGTTATTGTTTGGATTATTCTTCATGTATTTTCAAAAAATGACTATTTACTGAACACAAACTCTTAAAAAACTCATTAAATCTTATTATAAAACTAAATTATACAAAAATATCAAGAACTAAAATGACTGATCTGTATAAAGGAGTTAACTTGTGCAAAAGCAGAAAGAAGCCTGCATGAAACAACATGAAAGAGCTGAATAATCCCTATCATGGAACTAAATTATACAAAAACAAAAAAATGTACACAAAATAACTGATTAATCCCTCCTATTAAGGAACTAGATTATACACAAACAAAAAAATGTACACAAAATAACTGATTAATCCCTCCTATTAAGGAACTAGATTATACACAAACAAAAGAGATACATGAAGTACTGATTAATATCTCCTATTAAGGAACTAGATTATACACAAACAAAAGAGATACATGAAGTACTGATTAATATCTCCTATTAAGGAATTAGATTATACACAAACAAAAGAGATACATGAAGTACTGATTAATACCTCCTATTAAGGAACTAGATTATACACAAAAAAAGAGATACATGAAACAACATGAAATAATCATGAATCCTTATCAAAGAAATAAATTCAACGAGTGTGCTTTAATATCGAAATGTCTGTGTGATACATAGAGCTTATGAAATACAACTCCTAGTCTCAAGAAAATAATGTACTGATTAAAACATTACAAAAGAAGATAAAAATATCACATATGCAATTCCAATTTTCTGTTTGATCGATGACAGACTTTGTAACTTGAGATCAAGTTTGAGCATTTATAACACTAGGACTAGTGCCACTTTTCTTACTTAAAATATCTACACAGGTATACGTTTCAAATGTGCATGAGCTTTTTAAATTTTGTAACAGCATAAGTGCATTCAACGAAAAAAAAAACATAATAATAACATCTTACTAGTCTTGCCTTCCCACGTATTTGTCCTAAAATTATATCTGAAATACTGCATCGTTTTGAAATACGCTTTTTTGAAACGTGAAAACTTTAAAGGTAATAGAAGTTGAGATAAAATGATAAGCCCCAAAAATGTAACGCAAATATTGAATAACCTGTTAATTTTTTTTATATGACCAGGTAAACTGTAGTTATGTTGATAAAGTAGGGTACTTAAATAACAAAACAAAAATATTTAACATATATATATGGTTTTTCCTCACGAAAAAGACAAATTGATTCTTCTCGGCCTTATATTTGAAAACATCAAGATAAAACGTGCCGCTATTTTAATCTATATATGATTTACAAAGTGTATTAGACTAACATAACTTTTAGCATTCCCAAGTTTATCCTCGCCACGTTCGTTCCACAGAAACATGCTGTATAGATGTGTGTGGGATTAGCAAGGGCGAGGTAGAATTTGCATTCGTGCAGTAAGGGGAACATTTTTCATGCCTTGTCATCTTACCATATTTTGTTTCATCTACATAAATAACACACTGTAACAAAAAGGTTCATAGCGTTTCAAATACAGCTGAAGCTTGAAGCGTGTGTTGTACGGAGGCAATATTGGCGTATTTTCCGTCATAAATTCGTGTTTAGCTATCATGAATCCCCACTTTTTTCACGAAGAACAAAAAAAAAAAAGATGTTTTATTGAACAACCTCGTCTCGTGCAGAGATTAGTGGATCGTATTCTGCATATTTACTTGGTGTCTGCTAAATTATTCATAAGGAAACTGGCGGGAAATTATTGAACTTCTACTCACAAAGAAAATAGGGATATATATGGACAGAAGAATTTATCAACTTTTTAAGGCATTATGAGATCAACGTTTTATAGTTCTTTCGTCTTTTTTTCTCAGTGGTCTTATGAAGTATACAAAATACAATCAAGCTTATGAGATCAACGTTTTATAGCTCTCTCGTCTTTTTTTCTCAGTGGTCTTATGAAGTATATAAAAGACAATCAAGCTTATGAGATCAACGTTTTATAATTCTCTCGTCTATTTTTTTCTCAGTGGTCTTATGAAGTACATAAAAGACGATCAAGTTTATGAGATCAACGTTTTATAGTTCTCTCGTCTTTTTTTTTCTCAGTGGTCTTATGAAGTACATAAAAGACGATCGAGTTTATGAGATCAACGTTTTATAGTTCTCTCGTCTTTTTTTCTCAGTGGTCTTATGAAGTACATAAAAGACGATCAAGTTTATTAGATCAACATTTTATAGTTCTCTCTTCTAATTTTCTCAGTGGTCTTATGACGAACATACAAATGATCAAGTTTAGTTCAAATCAGAATAATCTGAGTTGATATCATGCGATATCTTGATTATTCATGGAATAACTTCACAATTTCTTTTTCAGCGATATACTTAAACTAATAAGACAATTCGACACGATATTTAATCTTTTCGGGAAAATGGCTTTTTCAAAATTGAAATGGAATGTTGTTATTATCTCAAGACTTTCATTTCCTCCCTTATGGAAAAATAGAGACTAATGCCTTGGTACTTAATGTGAACCGTCGCCACCACAAGTTAAACGTTTTTCCTGTAATGACAAGTGAAGAATCATTTGTCGGGTTACTTTGAAATCTTCAACATTTGTTTTAGCTTCTACAGCATATGGCATAACTGATTCCTGTACCTGCATCTGGCAGGAACCTAGGGAATTATCAACCACTAGAACATTCTAACTCTTGATCATTTCCGGGAATATCTGTCCAGCTGGAACACACACAACACACGTTGAGGACAGGATAACTTGGTTAATTTTAGGACAACCAATCTCAAATACTGGATTAAATATCTCAACGGTATGGTGCCGAGCGTTGCCCAATAGTTTGCGTTCTGGTGTAAGAATCTGTTGGTCTATCATTTGAGTCACGTAACAACAAAAAAATATAATAAAAATCGTCATTCGCAATTTAAGGCCATGTGTGCGTTATAAGGGTGGCAGTTAAG